CATACAGGAGAGAAACCTTATAAATGCTCAGACTGCGGAAAGAGTTTCAATCAGAAGTATCATCTTTCTAGGCATCTGAGAACCTACACAGGAGAGAAACCTTATACATACTCAGACTGTGGAAAGAGTTTCAATCGGAACCATCAGCTTTCTAGGCATCAGAGAATCCACGCAGGAGAGAAACCTTATAAATGCTCAGAGTGTGAGAAATGCTTTACTCAAAGTAATAAACTAGTCATCCATCAAAGAATCCACAGAGGAGAGAAACCATATGAATGCTCAGACTGTGGAAAGCGTTTCAATCAGGAGCATCATCTTTCTAGGCATGAGAGAATCCATACAGGAGAGAAACCGTATAAATGCTCAGACTGTGGAAAGAGTTTCAATCAGGAGCATCATCTTTCTAGGCATCAGAGAACCCACACAGGAGAGAAACCTTATAAATGCTCAGAGTGTGAGAAATGCTTTACTCAAAAGATTGAACTAGTCATCCATCAAAGAACCCACACAGGAGAAAAACCATACAAGTGCTCAGACTGTGGTAAGGGCTTAAAGTCGAGAAGTAAACTTGTTACTCATCAAAGAATTCACACAGGAGAAAAACCCTATAAATGCTCAGAATGTGGAGAGAGCTTTGGTCGGAAGGATACCCTTACTACCCATCATAGAATCCATACAGGAGAGAAACCGTATAAATGCTCAGACTGTGCAAAGAGTTTCAATCAGGAGCATCATCTTTCTAGGCATCAGAGAACCCACACAGGAGAGAAACCTTATAAATGCTCAGAGTGTGAGAAATGCTTTACTCAAAGTAATAAACTAGTCATGCATCAAAGAATCCACAGAGGAGAGAAACCATATGAATGCTCAGACTGTGGAAAGCGTTTCAATCAGAAGTATCATCTTTCTAGGCATGAGAGAATCCATACAGGAGAGAAACCTTATAAATGCTCTGAATGTGAGTTTTTCTGCTCATCGGCTTAAGGGGGAAATGTTCTAGCCGTCCCCTACTGTAAAACACCTCCAAGGCCAAACACGGATGTTTATTGAAAAACAAAGGTGATTTTCAGCAATTTTCATTTGTATCCAGTCCGTAGTAGGGATAAGGGCTTGGATTTCACCCCCAAACTTTGACCAATGCTTTTCTAGAGCTTGACTGCCTTTTCCGGTTTCCCCTCTCTCCTAGCATTTTATGAATCTTGGACCCTGGTTTCACAATGATTCCTGGTCAACTTCCACCTGAGCACTCTGGAATAGCGAAAGTAAAGGCAATGAAGATACCAGAAGATACCAGAGATTGTGCTGGGGCTTTGTGCCTCCAGAGCAAGCGTTGTGCTCGCGAGGAAGAAGAGGCTGCAATATTCTGCAGCATGAGATGACTATACCGGATGTCAGATACCTGGGGGATCAATTGTGTGCCTCAAGTGCTGCTGGGGAAGGGTTGTGATTCTCACAAGAGGCTGGAGATGGAGGAACTGGCCAGAAGCTTTAAAAATGGCATAGGTGCATGTGAGTGTTGGTCACCTTCCTTGAAATCAGCATTCTCCTCAGAAGATTGTCTTAAAAGGAAGGACCATTAACTAGGCAACATTTTAAGAGTTTTCCTTTTCATAAGTGTTTTTGTTGTTTGTCAAGTTACAGTTTTTAAAACACTAATGTAATCACTTAATCATATATGGTGTCTTTTGTTATTTAAAATCACATTTAAAAACAATGAATATGGAAAAACATTTCTTCTCTTCATATAGATGTGGACTGTTGCCCAGTGACAAGTGCAGGACTATTTTCAAAGCTTTCAGGATACCACTGGAAGATGATTTTCTGCGAGCACTGCTGGCTGCGTAAGTTTTATTTCAAGATGATAATAGATGTACACCATGGATAGTGACCCTTTTATCCATTAAGAGCCTATTCTGTCAGAGTAATCTGTCAGGGGTCACATGCGAGCAGTAGGAAGGGACAAAGCCAGCAGTGGCTATGAGTGTACTCAGAACTGGATGGACCAATCTCCTTCTTGACTCTTTTGACTGATGTAAATTTTTATATTTTTATATGAGATGTGATAAAAAGGCAGTTACAATGGAGACTAAGGGTGCACTAGATATTAGACTAATTGTATATCCTGTGCATTTATGTAAGAAGGTCCGTCTTTTCCCTCAGGCGGCCCCTCCATTTCGGCGGGAAATATTAAAGGCTGAGTCTTTATAACTTTAACAGTAGAAACTTTATTCTCTCCAACTCCCTCCAGCACATCCTTGAACGATTCAAATGGTTTCAAACTGGGCAACAAGCCCGAATCAACATTGTTTAAACTGTGGTTAAAGTCCCAGGGTGTCAACGGCGCTGGACCCCATGAGGCCCCTTGGGCTCCTGACGAGGGGGTGGGAGGCTCCTGATCGCACAGATTGTCCCACAACATCGGTGTCTAATCCACCCCCTCTCATCAGGACCCTCATCAAACGGCTCGGTCTTCCACTCACGCTCTCTTCGCAATTCCTCCTCTCTCGATGCCACGATCACGTTCCACTCTTTCACTGTGACATACGGAGAAGTCCCTTTAACCACATGAGGATCGGGCAAAAGGCCGCCCACTTTTAAGTTTGGGAAATCCTTGATAAGCCCTTGGGTGCGGACCCTTTCAAAAGCCCCTCGTCTTTCCTCTCGCTTCTTCCTCCCGTACGCCTCCACCACCGAACTGAACTACACCACCCCCTCCTTGTCCTTATACTGCTCCTCAACTGTCCCCCTAGACTCCTCCCACTCCCCTTCAGCTAAGCATACCTCTACCTTCCCCTCCCCCTCTTCCGCTGTCATCTCCTTTCCCTTTTCTTCTCCACTTTCACTGCTACGTGGTAGATCCTTTTCTCCGTCATTGCTTTCCACTTTCCTTTCTGCGGACGGCACACTTCTATCCTCTACACCTTCACAGACTGCCTTTTCCGGTTTCCCCTCTCTCCTAGCATTTTATGAATCTTGGACCCTGGTTTCACAATGATTCCTGGTCAACTTCCACCTGAGCACTCTGGAATAAGTAAAGTAAAGGCAATGAAGATACCAGAAGATACCAGAGATTGTGCTGGGGCTTTGTGCCTCCAGAGCAAGCGTTGTGCTCGTGAGGAACAAGAGGCTGCAGTATTCTGCAGCATGAGATGACTATACCAGATGTCAGATTCCCTGGGGGATCAATTGTGTGCCCTATTGGAAGGCCCACAGATTCAATCGTGCCATTTCCCAACAACATAACATCCAGCAACCTTGTCTCTTGGGGGAACTTCATGTTTTCTTTTGCTCCTGAATTGCTTATTCAGAAAGGCTTGCTTATGTTCTGTTTACTTAAGTTCTACCCAAGGGAAAAAGCCCTGTGTTATTAAACCCGCCTTAGCATGATCATTTCCCCCCTTCTAGAGTGCATTATACTCTCTTTTCTTTATAGTGCTTTGTCTGCTTTGCATCCATACCAGAGACCTCCTGGGCTAGCGATGGGGCGGAAGTGTTTAGCACTTGAGTTTGTCTATCAACAATCCTGCAAAAATTCAATGTCTAAAATGTCAGCAATGGAAACAAATGAAATGCCAAAACACATTCTTGTCCCTCTCTCTCGGTTTTAGACGTCCTGAACTGGCAGCCGCTCTTCTCTCTCTCCTGTTCGTCAGACCTCTTTAGTGAGGAAGTGGTGGAGACTGAAGTGTAGGAGATAAAGCATGCTATAGTTTGTCTTGAATGGCAGAAGTTTTTGGCTATCTCTGGCAGTGTTCCAGCTAGATGTAATTCACAAACAGGTTCCCAAAGATTGTGCAAAAATGCAGAGAAAGGTTTGTCACTTCTGCCAACAATGCTACTGTATGCTTGTAGACTGTTTGGATTATTGAAATTATTCAGTCTTACTCTGTGCCTAACAGACCACGGCTACTTTGCCCACCACCTGCATCCCTGCCTGGTCATGGGGCCATTTATGCCTCTGTCAGCCCTTCTGTCTTACTATTTTGTCTGAGAAAGTGGACTTGATCCAAGAAGCTCATGTTAAAAGGGAGGAATTCTTTAGCTGCCTTAGGTACCCTATGGGACAACAAGCAGCATAAAAATAATATAAATAAAATAGGTGGAATAATTTTTGTTGTTTTTTCCGTTTTTGTTTTATTTGTTTTGTCAAATATGTTCCCACCAATTAATAAAAGCTACTTCTTCAAACAACTCATGCCACCTCTTTCCTTCCTTCCAGGGTTCAGGTAGGGAACGGGGGGGGGGGGGGGAGAAAAACTGAACTTGGAAGTTCCCAGTTACAGGAAGTGCAGTTACTTATAACTACAGTAGTTACTTCATCCCTTCTGTGGGAGAAATCCGTGCAGGATCTCGCCTGGGGGGAGGGGGAGCTGAATGGAGCCTCAGGAGAAGGCTTTCCTCCTCCTTGAGGATACGGCCAGGAAGAGAAAAGGGGGGCAGAAGGAGCGGCCTGAGAGCTATAGAGAGAGGGGGGAGGAGGGGAACGGAGGCCCTCCTGAGGAAAGACCGGAGGAAAAGAAAGCCACGCCAGGCAGAGGAAAGACGCAGGACAGCGGAAGGAGCGGCCGGGGGACTCTTAAGACTGGGACACAGGGCGGGGGAAGGCCTCACTCCAGGCGCTCCCACCGCCCTCCCCGGCTCTCGGCTTTGCCGACAGAGGAGGAGGAAGAGGGAAGCGACAGAGCGAGAAGCGAGAGAGAGATAAAATATAAAAGGGATAAAGAGGGGGGGGGGGGAAACCCTCGCCACAGGCGAGAAGTCCCTTGGAAAGCAGGGAAAGAGAGAGTCTCGCTCCCTAGAGCGGCTCCAGAGAGGAAGGAGTGCAACGCTCATCTCCTTCCCCCGCGCCAACACAGCCTCACCTCTTCACGTTTCCACCCACCTCTGGAGGTGGAGCCGTTGCCACCGCCGCCCTTCTCTTTCCGAGGGGGGGGGGGCTGGGTAGTGTTTC